CACGCTAGGTTGTGCTTGTTTGTGATATTTCAGGTCCTAGTACGTGAATGGAGGCTTGGGAGCGAGTCTGGGGTCGATTGGACGAAGATCGGACGCATGGCGAGGTTCTAAGGAAGCCACACGGGCAGCCCTGGGTATCACACAGCCGTGCAACTTGCAACCCTGGTGGTGTGATTTTTGCCGAGGCCAAACACGGGCATCCCAGGAAATCCACACGGCCGTGCAACCCTGGCCGTGTGGGATGGTTGAAGATCGACCTAAGTGATACGGCGCGTTTTGACTCGCACGGGCAAAGTGGTGAGCCACACGGCCGTGTGGCCTGCCCGTGTGAGTCGGGAAATCCTGGTTTTTCAGCCAATTTCGAGCCAAAAGTGAGAGAATCGGATTTTCAGAGCAAAAACAGAGCCCTAGAGAGAGAAAGTACGAAGAACACATCCTAGAAGCTATCTTGGAGCTGGGTTTCGTCAAATCGAGCTTGGAGATCGTCATAGGAGTGGAAATCATCATCCCGGAGCAGATTTTCCTCATCATTATGAGTATGACTAATCCGATTACTGTTTTCTTCTCTCTCTCTATGGAGTAGAACCCTTCTCTCACTTGGGTATGAAGAACCCTAGTTCCTGGTGTTAGGGATTTGATTGTAATGACTTGGGATGGTTATACTGTTTGGTTTTAATCGAATGATGCATGTTTATCGAATTGATTGAAGTCTGATCAGCTTTTCTCGATTTCTGCTGCAACCTGAGATAGATAGAATCTGATTAGGTTGTTAGAGCCTCTTCATTCGATAGTAGGAGATTGGTTATACGAGAGTTAGCCAGTTTACTGCTTTGTACTGGAATTCAATTCCAGTAGTGGAGTTCTGTGCTTATTGCTTCAGCTTTCTATCCCGGTGAAGACTAGTCGTCTGCCGGGTAGTTAGACTGAGAGGGCTTGGTCAGCTTAAGAGATTCCAAGCTACTGTTGGATCTTCCGCAGTCTAATCAACAGTGAATCAACCCAGGGGAATTACAATTGCACCTAACTAAGGGGCTAGGGGGACTCATTCCCGAGTGACTCTTTCCTGCTTTTGAAAACCGAACCATTTACTGCTTTCTTACTGCTTTTGCTTTAAACAACAATCACTCGAATTAGTTTGCTAGATAATAAATCGTCACGGAGTAAGTAGTAGATCTAGACCCCGGGTTGATAATAGAACTTGCCTGTTACTGCATTCCCGGACTGCGATTACACTTGGTCGCAGTTTGGTGTTGTGTTTTGGCGTGTCAGTAGACTTCTTTTTCTACAGGAAATTTCTTGGAAGCAGAAAAAAGCAAAGGAACACTGGCTGAAGTTTGGGGACGATAATACGAGGTTCTTTCATGTGATGGCCAATTTTAAGAAGAAATTTAACATGGTTGAATGTTTATATATTCAAGGGGTGAGGTTTGAAGGCAGGGATGAAGTGGCTAAAGGGGTGGTTGATTTTTACGTCTCCTTCTGCAAGGAATCTGTTGCTAAGCGACCTTTTCCAAGAGATTTTGGGGCGACCAGGTTGAGTAATGCTGAAGCTAATTCTCTTGTGCTCAATTTCTCTGAAAGCGAGGCTTTGGAGAGTCTTAGGGATAGTGATGGGTGGAAAGCTCCGGGTCCTGATGGTTTCTCGTGGGACTTCTATAAGAAGTGTTGGGATTTCATTCGTATTGAGGTCCTCCAAGCCTTGATTGAGTTCCACGAGTCTGGCACTCTTCCGCTGTGCGCCACACACTCTTTCTTGTGTCTTGTCCCAAAGAGAGACGCGGTGGAGGACATTAAGGACCTTAGGCCTATTAGCTTGATGGGAAGCCTAAACAAACTCATTAGCAAGATTTTGGCGCGAAGGCTTAGCATGGTGCTTCCAAAACTAGTTTCTCCTTCTCAACAAGCTTCGGTTCGGGGTAGGCAGATCTCGGAGGCAGGTCTTATTGCTTTTGAGCTCCTGGACAGCAGAAAGAAAAGTCGGAAACCGGGGTTAATGTTTAAGCTGGATATAGAGAGGGCGTTTGATAATGTTAGTTGGAGTTGTCTGTTTAAAGTTCTCTTTGCCATGGGGTTTCCAAGGAAATGGGGTGAGTGGATCCGTGGGGCGATGTGTTCGCCGGTCATCTCGACAATTATTAACGGAGAAGCCAAAGGGTTCTTTAAATCTAAAAAGGGTCTTCGCCAGGGAGACCCGTTATCGCCGGGTCTGTTCGTGCTGGTTATGGAATTGCTTTCGTTTATGTTGACCAAGCTTAAAGAGGAAGGCAAAATCAGGGGTTTCTGTATGGACGAGCTAAGAGGGAGTGGTGAGGTCACCCATTTGTTGTTCGCAGATGACACGCTGATTCTTTGCGATGCTTCCACGGATCAAGTGCTTAACATCCTAGCTACTCTTGTTTGTTTTCAAGCCATCACAGGGCTTAAGATCAATCTTGAAAAATCGGTGATGATTGCCGTTGGGGATGTTCCTAATCCTGAGTATTTTGCTGCTGTATTTGGTTGTAATTGGACCACAAATGTCACGAAGTAACTGGGGTTTCCTCTTGGAGCTAAGGTTAATTCGAGTGCCATTTGGGATCCTATCATTGAGAAATTTGAAAAGCGTTTAGCAGGATGGAAAGGCAGGTATCTCTCGCTTGGCGGTCGCTTGGTTCTGAATAATGCAGTTTTGGGAAGTCAACCAGTTTATTACTTCTCTTTGTTCCAGGCCCCTAGAGGAGCAGTTAAGAAAATGGAAAGAATTCAGAAAAGGTTTATTTGGTGTGGGGCTAGAGAAGAGCGGAAAATGCCTCTTGTTAAATGGGAATTGTGTAAAGCTTTGAAAGAGAATGGGGGACTTGGAGTTAAGGATTTAAGCTACTTCAATAAGGCACTTTTAACTAAGTGGCTATGGAAGTATGCTAATGACAGAGGCAGTTGGTGGCGTGAGCTAATCTCCATTAAATTCCCGTCTGATTCGGAATGGCAGAGTAAAAGATGTAGGAACGGATATGGAGGGTCGGTTTGGGCCAATATTACAAAAGAATATGATTCCTTCTGGAAAGTTTGTCATATCGAACCAGAGAGTGGTGCTTGGGTGTCTTTTTGGAAAGACTGCTGGATACCAAACTTAATTTTGGCCGAAACCTTTCCAAGAGTTGTTGCCGCCGCCGCCATGCCGGATGCCCGCGTGTCGGACCTCGCCAGCAACACAGGTACGCATACAGAATGGAATATTGATTTTAATATCACTTTGAGAGGGGGGGCTGAGAGTGAGAGATCCAACTTGTATAATCTTATCTTTTCTGAGGCTTCTAATCTTGTCCCTTTTGGGCCAAGTAAGTTGGTCTGGTCGGCAAATCCGGATTGTAGGCTCTCTGTTTGTCTCTTGTACAGGCATTGGATTAGCAGAAGCTGCCCTGGCGTGCCCGACTTCCCGAATGATTCTGTTTGGCGTGGTGAAGTTCCTACCAAGATTCGAGCTTTCATGTGGTTGGTGGCGCACAACAAAATTCTTACCTTGGATAATCTACAGAGGAGAGGATGGGCCTTGGCCAATAGATGCTCTTTGTGTCACAATTCGGAGGAAACTATTAATCACTTGTTCGTTGAATGTTCCTACGCCAAGCAAGTTTGGAGTGCGATGGGAAGAAGATGTAGCAATCTGATTCTGCCTGGGAGCGACATCTTAACAGCCATTAGGAGATGGGATAGCAAAAAACCAGATAATCTGAATGATTGGATCATGTATGGTGCTCTACATGTCATTTGTTGGCAGGTTTGGAGGGAAAGAAATCAGCGAATTTTTAGAGATCAAGTTCTCAGTCCTGCTGTTGTTTTCCAGAAGTCAATGGCCTCAATTTTGGATGGGTTGGCTGCTCATGGTAGGATCTGCAGGGAGCAAGGTTGGGAGTGGATGGAGAGCCTGTGATCTAGTTGGCCTGTAGTCCTTTTGTCTTGTTGTTTTGTGCGGCGTTGTTGCCGTGATCGGGTGTGCTGTAGGTTGAGTTTGGGTGTGTGGCTGGGGAAGTTCAGGTGACCTTTATTTGGTTCTCTTGCAGCTTGGTGTCTCCTTTCCTTTTTTTTTTTTTCCTTTTGGTTTTTGGTCTTGTTGGTTGGGGGCTGCTTCCCCTGGGATTGTTCTGCTGTTACTTTTTGGACTGTTGGGTTGGGAGTTTGCACCTCTTGTGCAACTCTCCGGCTCGTGTTCTTTCTTCTTTTTCTTTTTAATGCATCTTTCACCTTCATAAAAAATAAAAATAAAATAATAACTGTAAAAAAAACTAATAATAATAACAAATCATAACATAAACAAACAGTCAAGAAGGCGAAAAAAAGGAGATTCCTTTCAGGAGCGGAAGGAAACAAATCGAGAAGATCGTATCATCGTAAACCCTAAATCTATTACCCCTAAGCTAGGTGCCGTGCCTTATCCTGCGATAGGATAATAATAATCTCCGATTAATTTCCGCCATGCGCGACATCTCATCTCTCCTCCGCTTCCTATCCCGCGCTCTATCAATGAACCGCTCCTTCCAGTTCCAATTCGGTCCCTCGAACGGATGGAATGGCAGCGGCGGCACCTCCCCGTCGCCAAACTCCTCGGGGAATTTCGTCGCCCACAGCTGGTAATCGCCGGAGGAGGATAGCCTCCGGAGGATGCCACACACGCATTCCATCACCGCTATCTGATGTTTAAGGATGAGGAGATTGATAGGACCCGCTGGTACTATTGCTGATGGTACCATAGTCATTTGAGCATCTGGCTCTAAATCGTTGAGTTTTAACATACTTGAAGAACCCGCAGTATACCCATCTGCAGTGGAGAGGAAATGTATACTCATTGCTAACCTTACCACAAGCTGCTCTTCTTGCCTGGTTTGCTCGCCCTGAATTGCGGCGATTTTGAGAAAACCATATGGTTGTGTGAGTGTTTTTCAGAACCATTATGTCAATTGTTGAAGTTCTGTTTTCTGGGTGTGTTCCCACATTTCCATTCTCTACATTACTTGATGTATGTTCATATTTCCGACTGTGAATCATTTTTTTTCTTCTTCCAACGAATGGCTGAATTAGAATACGGAAACATGAGTTTTTATTTCACTAAGCGCTAGTTACAAAATATTGGGTTTAGAGGAAAACTGTGCCTCATTCCCCTCCTTTTACTTCAGGAGATCTTCCCATTTGCAGTATTGCCCACCAGCTAATGCTCGATAATATCTGTCTCTGCAGTACGCTGGTCTTCCATCAGCAGCTTTGGCAGCAGCTGCTGCTAAATCATCGTCAGTCTTGACTTCTCCAGGTAATTGAAGCAGCTCCTCTTTTCTGCAACATGTATATACCAAAATGTTGGATGTTGTAAACCCATACATCTGCGAGTAACACTGTTAATCCTTGCGATCATACCTTAGGTTATATTTTCCATTGATTTCTGTTGCTGGATTGTCATATCGTCTTTCCCTCATGAGAAAGGTGGTCTGGAAGAAATCTTCTACTGGTGTAGCAAATATGAACAGTGACACACCTGCAACCAGTAACGCTCCCGTCCCCACCAGAGTTTGTTTCAGCATCTTGATGACGGGTTTTACCTAGAGGGGCACAGTTTTCTTCGTAAGGCCAGCATTTTTTGGTCAGAGCTTTAGCTTTTAGATGGTATTCATTTCTTACCTTGTAAGAGCCCAGTAGTCTATCACGAGCCAGAACCTGAAAATGTTTAGGAAAAGAATTGTTCCGTAAGTACAGATTCCACTTACTCCATGAAGGGAACATCCACTCTACTGTCAAGTCTTTACGAAACAAAGATACCAGAGCCTTCATACATTATCTTTTTACCAAAATCTTGGAATGTATTCCTCTGCTAACAGTAGTAAGTTAACTAACATGTGCACAAGGATTGATGCACTAACCTCCGGTGGCTTCGCCCACATCTGGCCGTCATACCATCCCGTCTCCTCATACGGTATTACAGCAGATAGAAGTCTGTCACCAACGTAACTCCATCCCTTTAGCAGGTATATTGCCACTGATTAATGTTAGTTTCTTTGTGAAGGTCATTTGCAGGAAAGAAGAAGGGAGTTCCATTCAGTTTTGTGGTTAAGTTAATAATGCCATTTAATATATAGATGCACGTGTTATCGTATCACAAAGAGTTATGCAGAATGTTATGGCCTGGTAGGATTATGAGAACCTTACCAGATAAATTCTTAAGACAATTAGTGAAACGAGGAACAGCGTTCCTGTCCCGGCTGCCAGTGTGAACCTGAAGGGATCCTGTTTAAGATTAGGAAAAGAAATATGAGCTGAAATGAACACTAGTTATACCTTTTGCAAAAGCACTCGTTATACTATATCTATTGAGAATTGTTTATGCGATGACTCTGTATCGATGAAACTAACCTTTGTTGGATCGAAACTTGCAGCTGCAATCGGACCTCCAAGAACGGTGAGAGTTACCAGCCACAGCCCTCCAAGACGAAGGAAAAAGGGCCCCGTACCCAGCTCCGCCCACGAGTACAAGGTCGACTCTTTCAAGTTGGAGTATTCATTTACCTGCAGAGAAGCATCACTTTTACGAACAGAACTGGCTTCTTGATACTGACTAACGTACAGAACCATACTATAGAGGAGACATACCGGCCTTTGCTCGAAAGGGACCCCGATTTCGGCGTCAGGTTGCCAGCTCTGACCCGGGAAGCTGCTCGTTCCCCCATCAGCACCGTCTTTCAAGGTGGCCTTAACGAAAATCCTGCCAAATGGCTTCAGGGCCTTGTGGTACTTAATCACCTGCAGCGACCTGTACTGGCGGCTGCATCCTATGGCTCGAGCGAGGCGTTCGCCGGTGCATCCTATAGCCTGAGCTTGTCGAACGCCTCGGGGCGGCCGAGCGCAGTGGAGGCTTAGCTTGAGCATTTGGGTTTTCCTTCTTCAGCTCGCTCAATCAGTACTCTGGCTGCAACAGAGTCCACTTGTTTTGTTCTCCATCCAGAGATCTTTTCCTCTCTAATGGAATCTCAGCCTTGGAAGTGTGGGGCTCTCCTCATGGGGAGAAGACAAGAAAAGTGATGTGGGGTTGCCACTTCCACGCGGCGTCGTTCATTGCTTTTCATTATTGGTGGGATTGGGCCAGCGAAGCAGAAGGGATCGAACTTTAAGTGGTGGCTTGTGGTTGGAGATGGCGGCCAAACTGCGAACAACGTGGTCAAGTGTGCCAGGTTGTGGCGCTTGCGCGCAGTCTGTGCGTGCACCGCGCCTGTACGGGTTCAACCAGTGGAGAAACTGAGTCTCTGTGGACGTTTTGGCTTAAATAGATGTAGAACCGGTCCTAATCACTCTGTCGAACATAAGACTTATCTCATAAACGGTCACAAATTTTTACATTTAGTACAACATGGTTACAAACCTTTAATTTGTAATGATATTGTAACAAAAGTTTGAAATTGTATAAAATTATTACTTTTATTTAATTTGTCATCGTTTTGTATCAAGTGCAAACTGCGAACGACGTGGTTAAGTGTGTCTGTCAGGTTGTGGCGCTTGTACGCAGTTTGTGCGTGCTCCGCGCTTGTACGGGTTCAACCAATGGAAAAACTGTGTTTGTTTGGCGTTTTGACTTAAAGACAGTAGATGTTGAACCAACCCTAATCTATTCACTAGTTTGTTTAAAGGATTGCGAGTAGAGGTGGTAAATGGATTGGATTTATTACCGAAGCCATGCTTTGAAACAGACTGAATTTATTTATTCTGTCCTTGATGCATGTCATCACTTAACTAGTTTCGTGTGGCAAGAGGACATCCAAGGCGCTCCTATGTTTCGCCTTTGGGAGCAGCTCAAAAAACTCCGCCATTTGCTGTATGACTGGAGTAGAGCTGGGACAACTAACTCTTTGCGTAATATCCGGACTTTGCAGGCGGAAATTGACAGGATCAAGCTTCAGCACCCTATTAATTGGGATGAGATCCGTGAACTGGAAATAGAACTGAGTAGACAATGGGACGCAGAGGAGGTATACTGGCAACAAAAATCCAGAGTCCACTGGCTTAAGAAGGGTGATAAAAATACCTCATACTTCCACACAGTTACTAGAGCTCGCCGAAAAAGGAACTTTGTGGCTGGGCTCCAGAATGATAACGGGGAATGGATCACTGATGAAAAGGGTAAAGTGGATGTTGCGGCTAATTTCTATCGCCATCTCTTCACATCCGAAAATTAGGTCCACAATATGAAAGAGCGGGTAGATGCTCTGCCTATCGCCCAGAGTGTTACTCCGGACATGAATGACACCCTAACAGCAGTAGTGCTCCCTGAGGAAGTGCGCAGAACTGTGTTTGCTATGGGGTCGAAACAGGCTCCGGGGTCGGATGGGTTCACGGAAAAATTCTTCAAAGCTTTTTGGGATATTGTGGGGCCATCAGTGATTGAGGCAGTCTGCTCGTTTTTTACAACGGGTAGGATGCTCCATAGATTCAATCATACCTGGCTCACCTTAATTCCTAAAGTGGATAATGTTGAATCAATGCGGCAACTGCGACCCATCAGTCTTTGTCAGTTTGTTTATAAAATTATTACCAAAATTTTGGCTGAACGGCTGGCTTGCGTACTACCAAACATTGTCTCAGAAGGGCAGAATGCGTTTATCCGGGAACGACAAATTGTTGAGAATATCCTCCTCGGACATGAGCTTATGCACTACCTAAAAATCAAAACGTGTGGGAAGAAAGGGTACATGGCTCTAAAGGTTGACATGAAAAAGGCCTATGATAGAGTCGAATGCCCTTTTCTCCTTACGATTTTGGAAAAATTGGGCTTTAGTTTTGTCTGGATTGGATGGATACAGGAATGCCTCAGATCTACGTCTTTTTCGGTTTTGATGAATGGTACCCCGTCAGGTTATTTCACTCCTTCCAGGGGACTTCGCCAGGGGGGCCCCTTATCTACTCTGTTGTTTGTTTTGTGTACAGAGGGGTTTGCGGCTCTCCTACGGAAGGCTATATCAGAAAAAAGCTGGCGGGAATCAAGTGGCCCCTCAGGCCCCTCGAATCTCGCACTTATTCTTCGCTGATGACTCATATTTATTCTAGCGTGGAACGCTCCAAGAATGTGAAAACTTAATGGGCGTTTTGAATGAGTATGAGGAGCTTAGTGGTCAGCGGGTGAATTTGGCAAAATCTGCGGTGTGCTTCAGTAAAAATGTTACTATACAGGATCAGGAATTCTTAGCTGCGATTATGGGAGTTGGGGCTGTTGGGGTCCATGATAAATACCTAGGGCTCCCGACCCTGATTGCAAGATCTAAAATGGAGACATTCCGGTACCTGGAGGAAAAGCTTTTGGAGCGGCTCCAGGGGTGGAAGTAGCGCACTTTGTCTTGGGCGGCTAAGAAAACTCTAATAAAATCAATTGCCATGGCTCTGCCATTACATGTGATGTCCTGCTTCAAGTTGCCACTTTCCCTGTGCCGCCTTTTGGACAAGCATGTTGCCCGATTTTGGTGGGGAGTTAGTGCAAACCATTTCCACCGTAAGCCAAGCGTGAACTTTTGGAATGCCATCTACAAAAAAATAGTTCAGTTAATATCATAAAAATCACAAATCACAAATAACAATAAAAAGTAATACAAAATAAGCTTACGAGTTAACGTTAATCGCAAAAACACTAAAGAAATATAGAGCTAGAACAGAAAATTGAAAAGGGAGAAGGAGAGGTGTGAAGAGAAGAGGTTTTCCGTGCAGTCTTTTATAGGGAAAATCACTGATGAAAATCGCACCTTAGAGATGCGGTTTTCGTCTGCCATGCAGCCCCACGTCTGTTATTCTGCATGGCTATATTTCGGGTGTCGGAAAATAATTGACACACAAACCGCACTGCGGGTGCGGTTTGTGTGGCAAAACCGCACTGGGGGGTGCGGTTTTGTTTTGGAGAAGCAAACCGCATCTCCAAGGTGCGGTTTTGCTAGGTCAGGTCAAAACCGCACCTCGGCATGCTGTTTATGTAGGTCAGACCTAAAACCGCGTGGCCAAGATGCGGTTTTGGCCCAGGATAATAAACCGCACCTTAGAGGTGCGGTCCATAAAAAAGGGTGCTATCTTTGTAAATATTTTCGGGTAGGTGCTATTTTTGTAATTTTTTTTAAAAGGTGCTATTTCTGGAAAAATCCCTTGATCAAGCCATAGGTATTGAAACTGTCTAGAACTTAGAACAGAAAGTTATTTGGTGGTTTTGTATCAGTAGAGGTGACAATTCTCAATCCAATCCACTAATCCAATCCACCAACCTATTAAAAATATCCACCTAATCCAATCCATTTGATCCAAATCCAATTGGATTGGTGGATTCATGGATTGATCCGTGGATCCAAATGGCAAATTACGGTTTGGTACCTATAATTTTTATATTTAACATTTTGGTATCCAAAATTTATTTTATTAGACGAAAAATATCATTAGAAAATTACATTTTGGTGCCTAAAATTTTTCATTAAGACATTTTAGTACCTAAACTTTTCACATTTTACATATTGGTCCTTGGTTGAGGATGTCATTTGGATTCATGGATAATCCACTTGATCCAATCCATTGAATCCAATCCATTATGGATCCATCAATCCAATCCACCAATCCATGGATCAATCTATTTGCCACCTCTAGGTATCAGCATTTGATGTCTTTAGCAATAAGTGATCTTGTTTTCTGTATTTAGACAAAAAGATCGTTAAAGCAATTGTATATTCATACTTGGTGTTTCTAAATATTTCATATTCGTGGATCTCATGTACTTTATGGTGCGAAAACTTACTGTTATGTGATAATCCAAGTACCACATCTGTTGTACAAGGGAAGGAACCCTTGTATATTATTGTCCACCTAGCCCAATTAGTACGAGGCCTTTTGGGGAGGACATCCAAGAGTAAAACCGTGCCGGCTTGGGCCAAAGCGGACTTATCGTACTGATTGAGCGGCCCAGTTTGACAAGTGGTATCAGAGCCTGGTTCGGCGGATCCGGGGCGGTGAACGTCAGTTCGGTGGACCCTCGTTTGGTGACCTCGGGATTTGAGATTCGCATCTGGTTTGGTGGATCCAGGAGAGATCCACGTTTGGCCTTGGCGGATCAAAGAGAGTTCCGCATTTGGGAAGCAGATCAAAGAGAGTTATGCGTATGGTAAAGTCCTTGTACCGAGAAGCCCATCGATATAAGGCATCTGCGGATCAAGATAATTGCTGAGGAGAGGACACGAGGTTCGTGGTTCTTGTCTTGAGGGGAGGATTGTTATGTGATAATCCAAGTACCACATCGGTTGTACAAGGGAAGGAACCTTGTATATTATTGTCTACCTAGCCCAATTAGTACGAGGCCTATTGGGGAGGACATCCAAGAGTAAAACAGTGCCCATTTGTCGAACCGGGCTGCTCATTAGTACGATATTGTCCGCTTTGGGCCAAGCCCGCATGGTTTTACTCTTGGATGTCCTCCCCAAAAGGCCTCGTAATAATGAACTTGGTGGACACTAATATACAAGGGTTCCTTCCCTTATATTAGCCCGATTATCTTGATCCGCGGACACCTTGTATCGATGGGCTTCTCGGTACAAGGATTTTCTCAAACGCGGAACTCTCTTTGATCCGCCAAACAAACGTGGATCTGTCCTGGATCCACTAATTAGATGCAGATCTCACATCCTGAGGTCCATTGAACGAGAGTCCCACTAAACTGACGTCCACAGTCCCAAACTAGGCTCTGATACCATTTGTCGAAACCGGGCTGCTCATTAGTACGATATTGTCCGCTTTGGGCCAAGCCCGCACGGTTTTACTTTTGAGTGTCCTCCCCAAAAGGTCTCGTACTAATTAGACTAGGTAAACAATAATATACAAGGGTACTTGGATTGTCCCATAACACTTACCTACTTCACTCCAGAGCCACAGTAGGAACCTCTCTGCTGCATTTCACATACAATGAAACATTTGACTCTTGAAGTTTATCTTTTGGACTGAACTGGCTTTGTTCTTCTGTTCCTTTCATTACCAACCCAACTTAGCAACCACACTAAAAAAAAAGAAGGAAAAAGTAGAATGCACAACAGATAAGAAAGAGATATGAAAGTTATCTCTGTTCCATTATCCTCTCAAACAAAAGGATTTCTCTGCAGAAATTATTTGAAATTGGAACCAAATATAGAGTCATAGATTCATTACTTTGCTTATCTAGTGAGATTTCTCTTTGACCATGTCTTCCCAAGTCTGGTATAAGTTCCAACTGTCGCTGGTCAATCTTTTCCTGGCCAAAGTTATTTGTCTGCTTGATCTCCATGAGCCATATAGAACGCATTTGCAACTTCAGATATACTAATTTGGTTTGCAGCCAGGACCCTATTCCGTAGAACATCCTACTACACACTTTAAGCATTTGCACTTTTAACATTCGCGAAAGCACTTGGCTAATCCTGGAACATTCATGAACGCAGTTGTC